CTTCCTCGGGACAACCCAAGTCCCCGCCACTTCCCTTGTACTAGTTCCGTTTTCTTTTTGTTCCGCCGGCAGTCCCGTCGGCGTATGTCCTATTTTTTATTTTTATTATTTGGGTTCACTCGGTCCCCGGCAGCATTTCGGACGACGTCCCATTTATATTGTTGGGACCCCCTCGCCGTTGGGAGTTCCAGCACTCCTCCCTTAGGTGCTTCTCATGTGTCGAATTTTTTCTTGGCTGCAAGATCTCATCTTGCGGCCGCCGCTTACCGTGCCCACTTACCCCATGCCGAAATCACATTTTTCTAGCCCTCCGGACTTGCCGTGGCTCATTTTCCCTTAGTCTAGGCATCCTTATGCAGTCCGTTATTTTTCGGACCGCATCCTTGCTCCTTCCCCTAGTCCCACAGCCCTACAACTTGCCCCATACTAGAGAGAAATAAAGCGCTAGACTCCCACGTGCATCCAGACTCAATATTGGCTCCGGATGCATTTAGAATATGTGTTTCCCTTCCCTTACGCAGTCCGTTACACCTCGGACTGCCAGGGGGGCCAATTTTCCAGCCCCAATGCCCCACAACTAGCCCCTACTTGAAAAAAAAAACACGGCCAACTCCTGGATGCATCCAGACTTGGTTTTGGCTCCGGAAAACATGTGTCCCTCCTCCCCTATGTAATCCGTTATTTTTCAGTTGCATGGGGCTTTGATTTTCTCTGCAAAAATCAAAGAAAATCAAGGTCCTTTGCAACCGCCATATTCCAGGATGAATCTGGTCACAGATGAACCTCCCCAAGTGGCCGTTTTTGGCTGTTAGTGCCCTTTTGTCTTTTCCTCTCTCTTTCTTTTTCTTTTTCTTTTCTTTTTCTTTTTGCATGCCAAGTGTTAACTAGCCGTTAAGGCCCTTTTCTAGGCCCTCCTTAGTTTTGGCCCTTCCTCTCCTCGTGGTGCAGTCCATTGCAGCCCGAACTGCAATTTTGGCCTTCTCATGCCTATGGGAGCCTCCTTTTATTCCCATTCCTCTCCTGCAATGGCCTCCCTCACTCCGATTTACCCCGGGAGGCCTTATTTTTCCATGGGCTCTCTCTTAATTCAATTTTCTTGGAGGGGCTGATCCGAGATTTTTCGGATTGCTCCCATGCCTCCCACTTCAAGTTCCTTCACTTTTCTTTTTCCTTTCAGCCTCCCCGTTTGCTCCCACTAGTGCCCGTACTAGCAGAGCTAATATTCTTGGCCGTAAAGATCCTCGATCTTGACGGTACGCCTTGCTTTAATTATTTGCTCCTCACATCGCTCTTTATTTTGCTCTTGGGACGTCACAAGTCCCTGCCACTTGCCCCACGCTGGTCCTTGGTATTTGTTCCGCCGTGGACCGCCGACTTTTATCCCGCCGATGGTCCCCGACACCTAGTCCCGTCGGCGATCCCCGACACTTAGTCCCGTCGGCGGTCCCCGACACTTAGTCCCGTCGGCGGTCCCCGACACTTAGTCCCGTCGGCGGTCCCCGACACTTAGTCCNCGACACTTAGTCCCGTCGGCGGTCCCCGACACTTAGTCCCGTCGGCGGTCCCCGACACTTAGTCCCGTCGGCGGTCCCCGACACTTAGTCCCGTCAGTGGTTCCCGATACTTAGTCCCCTTGGCGGTCCCCGACACTTAGTCCCGTCGGCGGTTCCCGATACTTAGACCCGTCGGCGGTCCCCTTGGCCTCTGTTGTATTGAAATCTAGTGCCCCGTCTGTCCTCGGGCTGCGCCCTTCCACGTCCGAGCCTCCGCGCTCGTTTTCCTGCCGCTGCTAGCTCTTTCTCACGGTTTCCAACCCGGGGCGCCGTTGCTCTCGCGAGCTTAGTCCTTTGCTCTTTTCTCTTCCCGTTCCTCCTTATTCCCGATTTTTCTGTCGTGCACAAATTGGCTCTATACAAGCTCTTGAGTGATGGGAAGTCATTCGGGAACCTCCGGTCCCGACACATTCCCCCCACTCATTCGCGATGTCCTCATCGCGCACCAGTCCATAGTCAGCAGGAAAATTTGGAGGTGGTAGAAGGAAGGGGGGGGTAGGGTGAGACAAGTAGTTAGCTTGCCAGGGTCCTTTTTGTCTAGACTTCCCTTTTC